GGGGGGGGGAAGCCAGCTTTGGGGTCCGCCTCCAGCACTCTGCTCTGGGCTTGTTTACCCAGTGGCCAAATAAAGAGGGGGGTCGGGGGACAGGGTCCTAATATCTTTTTCCAGGTCAAAACAAAACTGAACAAAAGCCTAGCCTCCAGTTTTTAAGGACCAAGAGCACCCCCAACACACCCCAGGCTTGGCCTCCAGAGCCCTGTCCCTTAACAAGCTCCCCTTCCCCAAAACAAGCCTGGGCAGGGGTCGGGGTGCTGGGAAACCGGAGTCCGAGCGGCCGCTCAGGGGAGGACAAGGCGCCCACAGCTGGTGGGATGTGACTTGGGTACCAACGAGCCTCCAGGCTGCCTCTGTTCTTCATTTTAATAACATTCTTGATTTGGGAGTCGGGAATCCCATCGGTTAAATTGCTTTGAAATAAGTACCACGCTGGTCCGGGCCAGAGCTGCCTGGAGTATTTACAGGATCTGCTGACAATCCGTCCCGGCCGTCCCGGCCCCTCTTTCTGTTTAACAAGCCTTTTGCTGCTCATTCTCCGAGGCAGCTCCGGCGGCCCGGCCAGCCTCCACCTGTGTCAGAGTCTGATGTGGTGCCAGTGAGCTGCCAGTTTCATTACGAAGCAGCCCGATTTCAGTCGCTCGGAACTGCCCGGGTGCCCGGTCTGACCCGAGGCGTCTGCCGGGTGAGCGTTTGCTGATGCTCGGAGCCCTCGGGGACCTGTCCCTCACGGCGTTTGGGCAGCTCTGACGTCAGGGAGCCGGAGGGAGCTGACACCTCCTTTTTCATGCTCTGCTGCCTCAAACCTGGCCTGACTCTGAAATCTGAAAGTCTTCAGGAGTGACCGGCTTGGGGCAGAAGGAAATTCGATCAGGCTTGGGGAGATCTGAGGAGTGGTGGAGAGCCGTATTGACGGCTGCATATTGGGACCCTGAGCACGCACCCTTTCAAAGGCCTAATCCTGGCAGAAGCTCAGGTGCTCCCCCGAGAAATCGGCGGGCAGTGGGAGCCTGCTTCTGCAGAAGGAGGGGAGCTGGAGGGACCTGCGGGCCCCGAAGCCCCTGGGATGCCTGGCTGGCACTGGCTGTCGGCTGGGCCTCCGCCCTGGGGATTGGGACCTGGGCATGCTCAGTGCTGAAGAAGTTCCATGCCAGGCAGGGGAGCCCAGTGCTTGTGGATCTGGGTTCCAGAGCCCCCCGCTTTGCCTCAGAGAGCCCTGGCGAGTCCCCTCTCCTCTCCAGGCCACAGCACCCACATCTGCAAAGCAGAGATCATAGCCATCCACTGAGAATAAGTTCAGGGCTGGCACATAGTAGGTGTTCAGCAAATGCCAGCTGCATGGCGAGCCACAGCACCGAGGCCCAGGCCTGGGTGGGCTCCTGCCTCCCCACTCCTCTCTCGGACTCCGGCCTCACTTTCCCCCCACCCTCCCGAGGACCCTGTCCGAGCCTCTCCTTCCCACAGATGTTCCACCGAGCATCTCCCACCAGGCACCCAGCTGGGGAGGCCAAGTCAGGGGGTACCAGGTCACATTCCTGCCCTCAGGGGCCTTAGGGCAAAGGAACACAGGTGAAGCCCGTGCTCAGGGGACCCCAACCGGGCGAGAAGCAGGACAGACGTGGGGGGTGGGGAGAGAGCAGGTGTGCCCAGCAGGGTGGTCCCAGAGGAGGGGCAGGGTCCTGGGCTCTGGGTCTGCCTGCTGTGGGGGCAGGAAATGCAGGGAAGCGAGGCTGAAGTGGGGGTGGTGGGGGTTAGTGGGGGTAGGTGGGGTGGTGGGGGTGGTGGGTTGGTGAAGGTGGTGGGGGTGGTGGGAGTGGCGGGGGTCTAGGTGGGGGTGGTGGAGATGGCAGGGGTAGGTGGGGGGGGTAGGGATTGTGGAGGTGGTGGGGGTGGTGGGGGTGGCGGAGGTGGGGGTAGGTGGGGTGGCGGGGGTGGCAGGGGTGGTGGGGGTGGCGGAGGTGGTGGAGGTAGGTGGGGGTAGGTGGGGTGGCGGGGGTGGTGGGGTAGGTGGGGGTGGCGGGGGTAGGTGGGCGTGGCGGGGGTAGGTGGGGGTGGTGGAGGTGGTGGGGGTGGTGGAGGTGGTGGGGGTGGCGGGGGTGGTGAGGATAGTGGGGAGACTCCAGCAGCCAGTGGGAGACTCCCAACCAGGGCTGCGTGCGGGCAGGCGGGCTGACAGACAGGTGCCCTGCTGCACCTCTTCCAAAAGGCTCAGAGGGAATGTCCTGAACGAGAGCAAGAAGCCCCGTAGTCCAGACCACAGCCTCGGAGAGGGTCCCCCAGGCTCTGCCTCCAGCGCTCACTCCCACCTTTGAGATGCCTGGAACCCGTGCTGCCACCCACGGAACTCAACCAGCCCCCAGCCCTGCCCTGACTCTTCAGGATGTGGTGCTCACACCGCAGGAGGGCTGCTCACACCCAGCATCCTGGCCAAGGGGATGACAGGCTGTCGAGTCCCAGGGGGGTGGGCTGTGTCCTCTGCATGCCCATGTCACTCCCCAGATCCTTTCCCCAAGCCCAAGTGCCCTCACCGTGTTACAGGCTGAAGCTGGAACACTGGCCACGGGCTCTGCTGCCGTGAGCAGCACAAAGCGGGAGTCTGACTACATCTTGTGCCTTCGGCCCCACGACAGTCTGGACCAACCCTTGCTACCAGCGCCCGAAGGCAGAGGTGCTGCCCCGGGTCCACACTCTCGCTTGGCGGCGGGTCCACTGAGCAGGGTGGATGCAGCCTTCAGTTGCCCCCTACCCAGGCCTCTCGTGCCAAGAGCTGGTTCCTGCACAGTCCCTGACCTCTCTTTCCCACGGCCCTGCCACTCTGGGTGCCAGTTACAGTGACCTCACCATCCCCCCTGGGTTCCTCCTTGGTGCCAATCAACTGGGGTGAGTACACCTGGCCCCCTGACTTTGCCTCTGCCCAAAAAAGGACACTGAAAACACACATGGCCGGAGCTCCTGTCCACGTAGCCAAATCAACGCCCATTTAGGAACTGCAGCAGATGCCGGGTGCCTCACACCTGTAATCCCAGCACTTTGGGAGGCTGAGGTGGGCAGATCACCTGAGGTTAGGAGTTCAAGACCACCCTGGCCAACTAAAAATACAAAAATTAGCTCTGGATGGTGGTGGGCCCCTGAAATCCCAGCTACTCGGGAGGCTGAGGTAGGCAAATCGCTTGAACCCAGGAGGTGGAGGTTTCAGTGAGCCGAGATCCTGCCACTGCACTCCAGCCTGGCGACAGAGTGAGACTGTCTCAAAAAACAAAAATTAGTCAGGCGTGGTGGCGGGCACCTGTAATCCCAGCTACTTGGGAAGCTGAGGCAGGAGAATCTCTTGAACTTAGGAGGCGGAGGTTGCAGTGAGCAGAGATTTCGCCACTGCACTCCAGTCTGGGTGACAAGAGAGAGACTCCGGCTTAAAAAAAAAAAAAAGAAACTGCAGCAACTGGCGGCCGGTGTGGGCACTTTAACGTGTGCGGTGATGGATTCCCGCCCCTCCTTTAGGGGCCAAGACACGTCTGTGGTCTGGCCTTGGAGAAATGACCTGCAGACTGACATCACCACACAAGCACACACGTCTGCATCTCAGCAGAAGCTTCCAGACTCCGTACTTCACTTTATGCAGAAGGATGTGCGCTAACATTTTCATTCTTGTTCTACTCCACTCTATTTGATTGAAAAAATAATGTGGATTAAACCCATTTAGTTGACTTTGCCAGTGGCCGGCAGAGTACTGCGTAAGTCTGGGAACTGCTGACAGCCTTTGCCACAGGCTGTCCTGACTTACTGGTTCAAAGCCCGAGTGGCCGCCCGTGCCAGGCCCTGTGCTAGGATCTCAGGCTTGGAAACCCTGCCCCGACCTTGAGGCCAAGACGGCCCAGCGTGGCCTGACTAGTGCAAGTGCCCAGGGCGGCCCAGATGGTCAGGTGGGTTCTCCCAGCTTCCCCAAGTGGGGAATGTTTAGTCTGACTCTGAGTGCAGGGTGAACTGCAGCTGTGGCTTTGTATTTCTGGCAAACAGCTGGACTTCAGTGACGGTGGACCTTGGTGATGCTGGATGTCTGGTTGTGGCCAAGCAC